CTCAGTAAGTTCTGAGCCAGAGAAGTAGATTTAATTCACTATGTTCTGTCTTTGCATGACTTGCAGGAACATTGCTTTGGAATATGATGTTAGGTGTGTTGGGTTTTTATTGGTGCTTTTTATTTATTTCCTTACTTTTAAAGATCAGCTCTTCCTGGTTCTGTTCTGTTTTCTGTTTCTTCCCTCAGGGAGAAGTACATCAGTTTCCCCTTTCTTTAGGCTTGCTTTTACTTTCAAGGTCCTCGGGGCAGTGGAGGGTCACTTGTGGTACAAACCCACAGGGAGTGCTTGTTTTATTGACTTGTTTAATCCTTTCGTTGGAATTGAGTTTTCTTAGTCCTGTCAAAGCTGGCTTTTTTAAGTTCTGTAAAAAGTTTTTGAAATTCTTAGCTCCTTCACTGGCTTATGCTGGCACTGTTTCAAAGTCCTGAATTTTTTATTCCGCGTAGGGTTCTGTCCCTGAATTTCCTTCCATCTTTCTTAGAAAGCATTTGCTTTTGGACCTGATCCTGAAAACAAGAACATACGCATAACTTTGCTTACACGATTGGGCTTGTGGGGTCGGGTGTTGGGTGTTTGTAGATTTAAGAGCTGCTATTGGGATGTGTTAACAGTTACTAATAACGCAGACCCTGAGGGAATCCAAACTGCCTTCATCTCTACGTCCTCAGCTCTGTTGATTCTATGGGGCTTAAGGAAGCTGCATGTATAGTTTTAAACTTAAAGCCTACTAGAGGACAGATGCCTTTTTACCAGCGGGTCAGATGAGGTAAATTGGCTTCAGTTCCTTTCAGTGGGGTGACCTCTGCTTACATCAGGTGAGGGCCTGCGGCTGCAGAAGAAACTCACCATTTCGATAGTGCTATTTTGCTTGTGGCCACTGGTCGGCAGGAAATGCTGCAGCGCTGCTTGTTCTCCAGTGCCCTGTGTACACATTGCAGCACAAAACTTGGAATCGTTCTCCCTCAAAACCTCTCCTGGGTTGCCTGAGGTGAGTCAAAACCTGTTTTCCTTTTGGAAAGAAGGGCAGCAAGGGAACGCTTTTTTTTTTTCTCTTTTTTTTACTAGCGTAATAGGGCTCAGACATGGGTTGCAGTCACTTTCTTTTTTCTTTGCTAGGTCTTACCCAGAAGAAATTGGGCCAAAACATTGGCCAAGCTCCCGGTTCACTCATGTGATGAAACTCCGACAGGCTGCCCTGCGCGCTGCGCGAGAGAAGTGGTCAGACTACATCCTGGTAAATACAAGGTTTGATTTATTAACCGTCCTCAGGCAAAAACTTTTCAGGTAGTCACTCTGATACTTGAGGCTGCAAAAAGTTTCTTGTCCATCGAAAGACAAAGCTCTCTGCAGTGAGATGCTGTGTGCTGTTTCTTAGTCTGATGAGCAAGAGACTTTGCAGATAGGGGGCTAAGTCCCTGGGTAAGCCAAAGGCTTTCTCCACAGGGGTCAGGATTGAATGTAGTCCTGGTGGTGGATAGGTACATGCGAGGCTCTCCCAGACTGAAACCCCTCCTGTTATTGATGACATGTAAGGGAAATAGTTCAGCAGAACAGCTGTGGAAAGACGTCTGCCTTTGGTCACTACAGCAGCAATTAACGGTCGTGTTCCCACAGCCTCTGAACAAGGCGAGGACGTGAGGCTGGTTTTTAAGCGTTCTTCTTGATGCTCTTCAGAGAATAAACCTGCCCTGAATTTTCAGCAGTGTTCTTTTCCCTCGCAGCTCCCTTGCCCCTGTGCTGGAGTACCGTTCTGTGGAGCCAGAGGGAAGCTCCACATCTTTTCCCATCTCATAGCTTTGTCAAATGGGCAGCCACCCCTGGGTTTACCTGTAACAGTGATGTGCCCTACGGTAGCAAAGCTACCAGCTCGGTGCTTTTTGCTTTTTTTGCCAACCTCATGCCTCTGGCTGCCTTGTTCCCAAGAAGTGTCAGGGGAAACAAATAATTTCATCTAATAACAAATGTCTTTTTCTCTTCCCCTCTTCCTTCTCTAGTTCATTGATGCAGATAATTTACTGACCAACCCACAAACCCTGAACCTGATGATAGCAGAAAACAAGACCTTGGTGGCACCAATGCTTGAGTCTCGCTCTCTTTACTCTAACTTCTGGTGTGGCATCACCCCCCAGGCAAGTGACGGCGCGAGCAGTGCTGGGTGACTGTGCAAGCTGTGTTTTCAAAGGCCTCCTGCCTTGTGTCTGTGAAGCAGTGGGCATCGTTTCTGTTCTGTGGGCTTTCCCATCTGCTTTTGTAGTGTCCTTTTTCTGAAAAGAAGCTGCTATAGCTCTGAGGCATGCAGAGGTGATGTTGGCATGTAGTGAGGACAGTGGTGTCATGCAGTCATCTAAGCTTCCTCCTCTCAGTGGTGGCATCCCAAATCTTGGGTGGGTATCGTGGGGAAAGGACCGTACGTTTATAGGCAATCTGGGAATAAGAGTAGAGTGGACGTTGCAGTCTGTAAATGTATTTCAGGCTTTGATTTCTAACAGAGCTATAGGTATGAGCAAAGCAATATGTGTCTTGCATTGGGTGTGCAGGCACATAACTGAAACTTGCTTCCTTATCTGCAATGTCCTCACCTGAAAAAACTTAATCCGGAGGAAGCTGAGGCTGCTTAGCCAAGAGTCCTGGGAATTGATAGAGTCCCACTAACTGCATTAAAAATAATTATATATATACAGTCACACTAGGATTTATTTGAGGTGGTTCCATATGTTTGTGTAATGGCCTTAAAATTCTTGGTACATTAAGTTGCGCCAGGGGAGGTTTCGATTGGACATTAGGAAAAATTTCTTCCCCAAAAGGGTTGTTAAGCATTGGAACGGGCTGCCCAGGGAACTGGTCGAGTCCCTGTCCCTGGAGGTGTTTAAAAGACAGGTAGATGAGGTGCTTAGGGACATGGCTTAGTGGTGGGATGGCAGTGCTAGGTTAACGGTTGGACTTGATGATCTGAAAGGTCTTTTCTGACCTAAATGATTCTATGATTCTATGCTTGCTTTAGACTAGCTTTCCCGTATAGTGATGCTAATCTTGAGAGGAAGTTGCTTTTCTTTCCACAGCTCTCCATTATATATAGGTTATTTTTCTCACAAATGAAAAAGATTTATGTTGCGGGGCAACACCCTTTGCCTTGAAGGGAGTGTGTGTGCTGAAGTATGTATGTAAAGGGTACTGGTATAAAGGACAGAAGTGCTGAGCCTAGAAATGAAGAGTTTCGTGTTACCTTTTCAAATCACATAAGCTACACAAGGTATAAGATGTCATGTATTAGAAATGACATTATTTTTGGAGTCAGAATGAGGTTGAGCTATCACTTTGGTGAGGTTGCTTCCTCTCTCCTGCCCAATAGCAACCCTTGTGGGTTGAGATAAAGCCAGTTTAATAAGTGGAGGGGCAAGAAAACCCCAGACAAACCAGTGCTACAAAACCAGTCACTCACCACCGGGAGAACAATGCGCAGCCATTCCCTGAGCAGTGGCTACTGGCAGGGGAAAAACTCCCACTCAGCGTTATTGCTGAGCATGATGTTACATGGTATGGAGAATCACTTTGGTCAGTTGGGGTCAGCTGTCCCAGCTGTGTCCCCTCCCAACCTCTTGCCCACCTGCAGTCTTCTTGCTGTAGGGGGCAGAGTGAGAAACAGAGAGGGCCTTGATGCCCTGCAAGCACTGTTCAGCACCAGCTAAAACATCGGCATGTTATCAACGCCGTTTTGGTGGCCAGCCTAAAACACAGCAAGGTCAGGGCTGCTGTGCAGAAAATTGACTGCATCCTAGCCAAACCCAGGCAGACCTATTGTCACAGTAATTTTTTGCCTTTTTTCACTCTTTTCCTTTGAAATGTTCTTGACTAAGCTCTAGATGAGCTTTCCAAGACATGTGAGCTGAAATGGGGACTGTAGTTAATGCTTTTTTCTCCCAGGTAAGACTCATAATGAGATCGGCTTTTTGACCTGTTCTCCAGTCTGCTGCTGGCTGGTGTCTTCTCATCCTTCGGGGAGGCAGGATCCTAAACTCCGTGTCTCCTAGAATAGGAAGAGGTTTACTGTTCTCTTGAGAATTTTCCCTTTTTGCCCATGTTTGCCCTGGAAAGCTTCAGGACTTGCTTTTTAATTCCATGCCCGGGTCTTGTGTTTCCTTCTTTGTGAAGACAAGCTTGCCCTGCATAGACAAATGTGTTTAAGCCTGAGCTACGCGTACATCTTCGAGCTTCCCTGGGCTGTGTGAATAGGGAGTACTTTAGAGACGCTCCACAGCCCTGCCCTTCCCTGCCCTCTTGCTTTATTTGAGAGGGCTAACCAGATACTAATTATCGTCATTATTGCTGGAGTGAAACAAAGACCAAACTCCATTCCCCCTTTTTTCTGGTGTAAAACATCATCCTTCCTTCCCAGTCTTACCAAGGACACAAGTAGGGACTACAGGCAGGGTGAATTCGTAACAACTCTACCCGTCCGACTGACAGCAGTGGTTTGTAGCAGATGCCTAGGGAGTAGTACAAGAACACGGAAAACATGTAAGTGAATGATACTTCCCCAAAATATTTTTCTGTCCTCTGGCAATCTCCTTCTCTAGGATTTCTGGAGGAAGGTCTTCATCTTTAAAGCGCTCAGTGATGTTTCTTTCACAGAAATTGCTATCTGAATCTCTTTTTTTTTTTTGCACCCACACCACCTTATGGCAAGGATTTCCACAGTTCAGCCTAACTGATTGAGTAAAAATAGCAGGAAAAGATCATGAACTTCACAGATTCTTGGGAAGTAAATATACAGATAAGAAAAAGGGGGTGGGGAGGGTGGCGGTGGTTACTTGTTTCAGTTTTTGTTTTAAAATAGATAGAAACTTCATAATGGAGGCATTGTCCTTTAAGTTTTTAAGGATAAGTCCTGAGACAGCCAGGTTTTCCACTGGTGTAAATCAGCATTGCTCCACGGGCTGAAGTGGATCTCTGCCTGTGTGCACCAGCCTCAGCCCTGGCCTCTAGTGTTACCTCTCCAGTAGTAAGTTTCCATCATTACCAGCAGTAGCTGAGAAAAGGAGAGGGAAAAACCTAGCAGCAAATGCATCTTGCAGAATTTGGTGAAAAAAGCTGCTCAAACAAACAGGAAAGTTCCCACTTCATTTTTTCTTTTCTCTTCGTTGCTGCTGCTTGTTTCTGTGCTCACAGTCCCCCAGCTTCATGCTCTCAGCCTTGCTCTCCCTGGGGGCCTGGGGAGGGAGCAACAGCCGGAGCACGCCCTGAAACACAGCCTCTGGCACGGAGCAATAGCAAGGCAAAGCCCGCTCCAGGCAGCTTGACATTTAGTTGTCATGAAGCTAACCTTAGGAGAGCGCAGCAACGGCGCTGACAAGTTGGAGCCTTTCTTGACTACGCATGATTTATGAGCAGTGAAAGGCCCCAAAATCCCGTAGCGAGCGACTGGAAGAGGAAGGATTTGTTTCCAGCATCTTTCACCTGTGGGCATTCTCGGATGGCTGTTAAAGGCTGAATGTCTCGACCCTTCCTTCAGTGGCAATGCTAGTACGGTCTCTACCCACTTGCTCCTTTTTGTGAAAATCAGACCGGCTGTGTTTGAGATACCTTCTGACCTTACTGTGAGGACTAGATACCTGAAAGGCAGAGGAGAGGATCGACAGATACATAAACAGACCAATGCACCACATCATGCTTCTACGCAAAACCAGGGTAAAGCAGTTCTGCAGGGTTTGATTTGCTCAGCTGTTGCTAGGATGCTCATGGAAAATACAACGTAAAAGTAACTTTAACTTCTTTTAGTGACTCATCATTTCTGTAAAGACCAGAGTCTGCTCTGGATTCAACCATCAGCCGCATCCGGATGTCTCATTGGTGCGTTAGGATTTTCTTTCTACACAGGAATTCAGTGTATTTATTTCCAAATCTGATAGCTTTAGACATATTGCACCTGCAAAACCAGGTGTGAGCTGCACAGCGTGGGTGTTGCACCCACAGCGCTGGAAGGCTGGCAGAGCTCCTGGTTACAGAGAAATGAGCTGACCGAAGTGCCTCCCCCAGACACGCTCTGTGGGGAGAGCTCAGGAGCGAGCATTAAACCTGCTTGCCCTGGGATGGAGGAAGCAGGGAGTCTTACACAGCTGATGGAGACTGAGGTGTTGCCTGCGCTGCAGTGAAGCAAATTATTTATTTTTTTTTTAAAGTCATGGTCAGAAATAATTTGCAGGTCCTGTTCTGTGAGACACTGAATGTCCTTTGTGCCTGTTGAACATGGAGGATGTCGTGGATGCTCAGCAGCTTCCAGGATCAGACCCGAGAGTCTGTGCACAAAAAGGGTTTTTGAAGAGCCAGAAGAAAATGGTCTGGGGTTTGAAGCTCTATTGCAAGGGAATTTTGCAATGGAAAGTCTTGGCTTTCCAACAGCTGCTAAAAAGGAGAGAGAAGATCAAGCTTTAACTTTTGGGATGGAGATTGTTTCTAAATATTTGAGCCCTTTCCAAATGGGAGATCCTTAAAAATCTGAGAATTGAGCACTGATCCACCTCTGCTGGGGAGGGCTAAGGGTGAGAGCTTTTGCTAGGGAGCACCTATGAAACAGAAATCTCTTGTAACAAGCAGCCCCCTCGTTGTGATTGCAGGGCTATTACAAAAGGACCTTGGATTATCCCCTGATTCGGGAATGGAAAAGGACAGGCTGTTTCGCTGTCCCGATGATTCATTCCACGTTCCTCATTGACCTGAGGAAAGAGGCCTCCACCAAGCTGATGTTCTACCCCCCCCACCAGGACTACACCTGGAGCTTTGACGATATCATGGTCTTTGCCTTCTCCAGTCGCCAAGCAGGTATGTCTGGAGCCTTTGCTGGGGAGGATTCGCTATTAGAGACACGCAGACCTCTACTTTGAGTTCACAGGCCAGAAGCCCTGTGTTGACTTCAGTGGTGAGTTGCACTGATTTTGTTTTCAAAAAAAAAAAAAAAAGCAAAAGAAAAAAAAAAACCCCCCTGCCTTCAGA